AGGACCAGTCTCTGAGCCAGCCGGGATTGTGGTTCGGGTGAGTATACATCTTATTGTAGCTCCCTAGACCAAAGTAAAGCGTTAGGGTCGGAGAGTTAAATGACAGGTTAATGCTTCTAGGGAAAGCTTTACTACTCAGATAAACAGTTTTCATACTAGTTCTGCTGGACTCCGGGTGCAAGGAGCAAATAAATAACAATTATAAAAGGGCATTCCCAAGAAAAATCAGTCACCATTCATAACGGGAAGGGGCACAGGATTACATATATAGATATAAAACAGTGTGGCTTTAACCATAACTTACCCTTTGCATGCCCTCCTCGTTGACACAAACTTTTTGGAATAGCGCTTTAAAGATCTTGCTCAAAGTGAGAGCGAACATTCGAATAGCTGCAATATTTAAATTCTGACCCATTTCATCCAGAATCTCAGCCGCCTGATCCTGAATGACATCGCATGACTCTCCAGACTCTAAACTGATCTGCAGATAAAATACAGAGGAATCCCATATAGTCACACATATGAACCATCGCCTCTTTGCAGCTGAATCAAAAAAGCCAAAGGAAGAGCAATGATAATCCACACAGTATAGTAACATATTATAATATATAACATCAAAGTCCAGACATTTTTTTTATTTTGTTTGGGATCAAATAGAGACGGGTTAGAGGGGGGTCTGGGTTCCTATGGGGAAGAATTCCACTCAATTCCTGTCCTCTCCAATATTTGTATTGCTCTCTCTATTTCCTGTCTTGGTCACAATCCTATTCCTCATTTGTTATATGGGTGTCACAGTGACAGGAAGTTAGGTTAAAACCCCCTGTATCAAAATTGATAAAAAAATATATTTTTGACTGGAGCTTAGTAGAACTCTTCCATCACTGAAAACTCACTAAAGAAGTGGCATGATAACAATCAAATGCAATATGTAGCTACTTATATTTTGTACAGTATATACACACATGTTCTGGTACAGAACTTCCCAGAATTATACTTTTCTATTTATGGTACTGGTGTACTGCCTTTTTCAGCAGTTTCCCACTTATAATTATTAAATATAATATAATTATATAAAATTATTATATTATCACTAGCTCCAACCCAAGTTTATCCAAACCCGGAAGGAAGCCATCAGTACCGGCCCCATCAGCGGTGGCCCGGGCATTCCCCGGCCCATAGCTGCATGTAACCTAAAGGGCAGGATGCTGATGACATAATTGACCTTACATGGCCATACATGGTCAATTACATCACCAGGATTCCACCCCTTTGTCTAAGAGCAGCTGTGGGGTGGTGAATGCCCTGGCGGCAGCTGAATGGGCCAGCACTGATGGCTTCCTTCCAGATTTCAATGAGTTTGGTACGGTCCAAACTCGAGCTCATTTCTATATCCACCCAAGACGGACACAGTGGCTGGAAGGCATGTATCAGTATTCACAGAAGAGCTAAGAGTAAAACTCTGCAATACAGACTTTTTTGTAGCCAACATTTTTTGACAAGCGTAGGGAAGGGTTAAAACCTTTCAGATGTACCCTCACCTCTTGTTCTGGGGACAACTGTAAAATTTTGGAATTTCATCTGACAATAGTGATCAGGACAAATGAATAGGGTGAAACTACCCAGTAGGGACACATACAGCAATAAAAACCTGGCAGGGGTTCCAATTCTTCCCTCCTGTACCTAACATGAGAAAGATGGGGGGGTGGTTGATAGCAAAATAACATAAGCAATGCAGGACCATAGAGATTAAAGACATAGTCTGATTTAAAAGACAACTATAGGGTAAGTGTTTTTCCCCATAGTTCTCAAAAGGGTCACGGGAGAACATATACTAGCGTCCTCCCGTGACCCAAAGCTCAGTATATTGCGCGCTACAGCTCGCGGTATACAGAGAGCGCCGCAATGCTGTTGAGATCCACCCAGCTGCGTGCATGACAGCTGGCTCTGCCTATCTAGAGGGGGAATCCCTGCAAGGAGCTGTGTCTGACAGTCACCACTCTCTGCAGGGAGATGATCAAGAAGTGAGCGAGCGACGGTATGCGTTCTCTCACTTCCTGATCTATTGAGCTGACGTGTGACAGTTTCATTGTCACACGTCGGCTCGAACCTCATAGTTCTCCTTTAAAACAATTTATAAAATGCACATATGATAAGCAAAAGAATTGCATCTGTTAACGTTTTGCAATAGAGCCTGCAGAGTATTGAAACCACGATCAGTGGATCACAGGTACATTGCTTCCTTCAGTCTCTGTCTATACAGAGGAACCTACCATTAGAGACCTGCCATTATGGAGCTGGAGGACGTTATTCATGGACTACAAGTGATGTCACCACACTTGTGCTCCATTGAGATCTCTGCAGCAATGGCAAACAGAACTTGTAGTCTTCCCATTCAGAGATCCTGTGAATGGATCGGAGAATGGATGACATGGCTTTGTGGGTGGAGTCACACACAGCCATGCGCAAATTAAAACCATGACGAAGCCTTAAGGGAGAAGCATCCTGCAATTTAAGTAAGCTGGGGGCAATTTGAAGGTGAGGGGCCGGGAAATGCGACCATGTTTCACGCTAAATATGGGGTTAACAGGAAACATGACACAACATATAGTAGCATCCGAGAGAGAGTGTTTGAAGCCACATGGAAACGCAGTTCATGTGTTTGGTTCCTGGTGGCTCTCCTGTATTTTTCCTCCCCTGAGATTATGTGCATGGTCACATGTCTAGTCACATCTGCAAGAGTTGCAGGAAGTAAAATAAGATCTAGTAACCTGCCCTTAGTTAAGATGGCAACTGTCAGAAAAGAGAAATAAAGCATGCAAGGAATACAAAGCCGGCAATTATCTAGAAGTATGTGTTTGTAGATTGTCATTACTAAACATTTCTAAAGGTGTGTTTGTTGTTATTTAAAAGATATGTGTAAAGGTTTACATTAAAGCCCCACTCTGGTCTTGGTAACCAGTAGGCACTTCTATTTTTGATATAGTAACATGAAACACAAAAGGTGGACTATGCTTTTAAGAATGTGGTAAAATACAAATGATATAATATCACCTCTTTGATAACATATTGCAGCTGCTCGGAGTGTAGGACCATGGTTTTCAGGGCACTTGGCTTGCATGGTACGAGGCTTCTGTAGATCACAGGGGAGTAACATTTCATGGCATATCTCAGGTCACTTGACTGTCGCCGCTCTTCAAGTATGTCCTCGAATGCATCCCTTTTCTTGTTTCTGAATTCCCTTTGCTGTCAAGCAGAATATCAGCAGGTAAAATCGGACTTTAAAGCATCTTATTTTACATCCTGAGAAAAGCTGGACACTGAATTTTAGGCTTCAGTATTGCAGCACGTTAATGAGTAGTAAAACAATTGTATATGTGTGTTGCTCTGCATTGCTAATCATTTTCAATGTCAAACACATGTACTTATCCTCATCTCAGTGCAATGCATACAATAAGTAACACATGCGTTGTGGTGCACTGGGAAAGAAAAAAAAAAGGAGGGCAAGTGCATTTTTTGGTCAATGGATGCACATTAAAGTGACATTAAACCCTCCGATTTTTTTAACCTAAAACAATACTGTAATGTGTGCCTTACTGTAATCCATGGTTGTTTCCCTTCTTTGCTGCTCTTCCCTTTAAATCTGTATCTCTTCTCATGCTGGGGATAACTTCTGTTTTGCAGCAGACTGCCTTGTCTCTGAAATGGATACATGGTGTCTGTGTGCAGGTTTGCAACCTGAGCCAGCACTACAGGAAGAGGCACTCAGCTGCAAAGGGAAGTTCTCCCCAAGCATGTTGCAGCGGTTTAAGGTTCTGTGAGTCATCACATTCTATATACTTACAGGTCTATTCACTAAAGGGTGAGGAGTTTGGAGAAGGCAGGAGAAGTGAACAATCTAGGACAACATAGCTGATGTGGAAAAATTCTCCAATTCAGCTCACTTTCCAGTTCAACTATGTTGTCCTAGATTGTTCACTTCTCCTGCCTTCTTCAAACTCTTCACCCTTTTGCGAATAACCGTGTAAGTGTATAAGACGTGAGGATGCTGAGGGACATTCCATAGCTGCAGCAGAGGAGAGACACTGGAGGGAGTGATGTCACAGCCAGCTGGCTCCAAGGATCAGGTGAGTATAACTTTGTTATTTTCCTCCATAGACCACAATGAGCAGTTAACCCTTGCAGTGCTGGGGTAGCCCACTGCAAAGGTTAAGATTAACTTTCCCCAGAGGTCTGCTTTAATTCTCTTTCATCCTGAATGTCCCTGGCAAACCTTCTATTCACTGCAGTTCTGTCAATCATGGAGGCTCAGCATCACATGTGGGTGCTAGCTAGGGTGGTCTGCTGTTTTCAGAAATGCTATGTACAACCCCTCCCACCAGCTATGGTCTGCTTACATTTCATAGAGAAGCACAGAGACCTGGTGATGATATCATTGGGTATGTGTGCGCCTTAAACTAAGCGAGGCTGAAGGGACCGGTCCGAGTGCAAGCTGCGATCGCAGTTCAGGTGAGTATAACTTATTGCAGCTTCCTAGACCAAAACCAGCAGTTAACCCTTGCAGTGTGGGGGTAGCTCCACTGCAAGGGTTAAGAATGTATTTGCCTGGAGTTGTTCTGTAAGTGTTGAAAAAGTAATATGAACAGTTCTAGAACCCCCACATGAGGGACAGCAGTTCGCATTCATTCCTAAGAGGATAGCATGGCGATGGCATATAATAAAAGGGGTCACCCACTTACTGAATAGGGTGTGCCCATAGCTGCCGCCATGACAGCCAGTAATGTGTGCGCCCTTCAGCGATCTCTCAGCTCTGTGTTCATCCTCGGTCTCCTCCGCACACACAGTGTGAAGTTGTTAGACAGAGGCACAGGAAGAGGCGGAGATCGATGCAACTGGCAGAAGAATGTCCATTTTGACAGCTACGGGATCTGCGCAGGACAAACCTAGTCAGATAGCGAGTCTACGGAAGCCGGAGTGGGACAGAGTGTGTTCAGGACTGGAGACTTCCGCTTTGTGGCTGTGCCGGGGATAGACCCACGTGTTAGTGTTGATGTGCTGCTACATTGGATCTTGTGTTGTGTGATCTTTATTGGGGGGCCCAGTGATCTAAGGCACAATGGCAGGGGAAGAGGATGAGGCAGATGTTCAGGATCAGCTGGATTCCGTTCTCAGTAACCTGTATGATTTCGGTAAGTGAAATACTTACACATCACACCGTGAGTCTTCCAGCCGCTGGTCTGCACCACAACTAAATTAGAACTGGCACATATTTCCTTATGTTACTGCTAATACTGGGTATTAAAGTACAAGTGCAGCCCACACTTTTTGTTTCGTTTTGGATAGAGTGGAGGTGGAAAAGAAACCCTGCCAGGTTTGTATTGCTGTCTGTGTCCCCATTAGTTTTGGTCAGGCAGCCTCCAACTGTTGAGGAACTACAATTCCCATGAGGCATTGCACGACTTTGACAGGCATAGGCATGATGGGTTTTGTAGTTTCAGAACAGCTGGATTGCCAAGTTTGTCTACCCCCGGTCTAGGTTCACACAGACTGCAGAGGGGGGATAACAACAATTGAGCTGTGTTTTTACCGACCTCTGACTGCCTACCTAAATACTAACATGGCAGCCGCTCAGGACTGTCCACATTGCCATGGCAACAATGTTTAACAGAATGGCAATTTTAACTTGGCACGTCACGTTTGGCACTTATGCTCGTTGTAGTCAATGAGACCATGCCGGTTGTGTACGATATTTCAATGTGTAGTTCCCCTTGGTTTAAAAAAAAAAGCCATATGTTTAGGAGTGCAGTATACCTGCCCCTTAAAAGTGATCAACCACAGATAATTAGTTTAGGGGGACGGTAAAGCCTGCTGCCTGTGAGAAAGAGGCCTTAGGCTACATTCAGTGCCCGCTCATAGATAGTGCGGTGACCTGTGCAGTGCCGTACTGGCTCAGTGCACGTCACCGCTCAGATACATACTATGTATCCACTTCACACTACAACGCAGGTATCATAGGTGGGGCACACTGCTGTGATAAAATGCAAACGTGCTGAAATTTATCGCAGCGCAAGGAACCACACTGCAGCACACAGCACTGCTGTGCAGGGACCTGAATGGAGTGTGCACATTGTAAACTTCACATAAACTTTTATGATGTGCTTGGTCACATGTCCTGGTCACATGTGCCAGTAATCAAGGAAGTAAAAGGAGAGCTAGTAATCTGCCCTTTGTAAACATGGCCACTGTCAGAAGACTGGGGAAGAAAAGAAAGACAAGGTATGCAAAGAATACAAAGATGGCAATTATCTAGAAGTATGTGTGTGTAGATTGTTGTTACTAAACATTTCTAACGGTGTGTTTGTTATTATTTTAACAATATGGGTAAAGGTCTACTTTAAGGCTGTGGCTGGGGATTCCTTATCTGAATCCAAAGGTACCTGCGGAATCCCAGGTTTGTCAGGACATATGCGGCCACGAGTCCATGTAACGGTCGGTGAAGACCTGAGCGATCCAGGACGCTTGGCCCGGGATCGCGCTGTCGTGCTTAATTGCAGACAGCGAGTGCCGAACGGCCCCATTGACTTCAATGGAATACATCCGCACAGCAATCTCAGAAAAAAGGTACATGTACCTTTCTCTTTTTTTTTTGCTATACACGACACGCGGCTGTTTTAGACAGGCAGACAGCGGCCTCATCTGTGCGGGCACACCTGGGATTCCTGCCGCAAGAATCTGTAGGTTCTTGCCATAGGAATACAAAAATTCCCCAGCCTCAACCTGCCAGCCAGCCTGCAACCAAACAAGTAGCCCTGTCAACAGTATGCGTTAAAATCAGAGGTTTTAGTTGCACAAACTTTTGGCCAAAAATATGTAGAAGCCACACTGCCGCGCCAAGGCACCTCTGCAAAGTGTGGTCCTAACTCTATGTATCCGAGTCTCCAAGTGTGAGCATATTAATGAAGTCGATAGATTGCATGCAGGTGTACCTGGAGGTAGCCTACTCCTCCTAATAAGGTGCAGGGACGCACTGGGGGCCCAGCAACCAAAAATGCACGCTGGGACTCCAGTGCGTCCCCCAAACCAAAAATAGTCAAACTAGAAAAAAGTGGTACATGCATGAATCTATAACCGGCATTTATAGCAGGGAGCACATTGGGAAGGCCTACAACAATACAAAACACAAAAATTCCCCAGCCTCAACCTGCCAGCCAGCCTGCAACCAAACAAGTAGCCCTGTCAACAGTATGCATTAAAATCAGAGGTTTTAGTTGCACAAACTTTTGGCCAAAAATATGTAGAAGCCACACTGCCGCGCCAAGGCACCTCTGTAACCACACACCTAGGACCACACTTTATGGAGCGAACGCACCTTGTCCCTCCATCCCTGCGCTCAGTATTTGAAATTCCGCTGGTAAACGTCAAGCATTCATTGGTCAGTGCAGTCACCCGACTATGTTGACCAATGAGAAGTGCTTCTGACTGCACTGCACAGTTATAAAAAAAAACAAAAAAAACAGATGTCATCCTTCAATGCTGATCTCCCGCAGCCTCTTCTGTCTATCTATCCTGTCCAGCAATGGCTGCCTAGCTGGTTTGCTGATGTTGACAACAGTGGACCATGCCTGTTTGATGTTTGTCGAAAAGAAAACCAGTAGTCTCCATTAGAATCCTGTATGAAATTGTGACAACGCAAAAGCACATTTGCAAGACAGAGATGTGTTGTCACCTGGACTGTGTCTGCATAATTTGTGTTAAAGGGGTATTAAACTCTCAGACTTTTTTCAGTAATAAATTCAGTTCAAACAAATTTACATCCCAGCAAAGTATTGCTTTCCATCTTTGCCTAAACACCAGCAGTCATCATGGTTTCAAACAGCTCCAACTCTCTCAGCTCCACTTCCCTGAACTTCCTGTCCAGCACAGGATCACAAAGACAGAGCAGACTCCAGTAGCTATCCATCTACTAGTGTAAAGGAGGGAGGAAGGAAAAGTAGGGGGGAGGAGGGAGGCTTGCCTGTGTGTTTTGTGGAGACACACACAGTTTACTAGCACACACAAAGGTGGCTCCATAGGACCCTGCAAGGGAAAGGAGCCACCCTGAAACAGGATATTGGGACCAGTGCTCAGGGGACCAGCCGATTGAAAAGCAAATGTTGCCGCCAAGCATAACTCTCCTCTGATCTGTGACAGGGGGCAGAGCAGTGCGGGGAGGAGAGACGCCGGCCGCTCACAACTCTCTCCTCCCGCACCGCTCAGCCACCTGTCACAGTTTATCTCCTCTCCGCTGGGACACAGAGCAGCGCCCAGTGGGGAGGAGAGAAAGAATGGATGCACCGCTGTATCGGCCAGAAAATGACACTTTCGGCATTATGCCAAAAGTGCCATTTTCGGCGGATATATCGGTGTATCCCCAATAATAATAATAATAATAATACAGTGCAAAGAACACTGAGAAGCAGTAACCTATACAAACACACACATTTTATTTTTGAGAAGATTAGATCTACCAGTGAAAGGGGATTGGTGACATAGGACCCTGCAAGGGAAAGGAGCCACCCTGAAACAGGATATTGGGACCAGTGCTCAGGGGACCAGCCGATTGAAAAGCAAATGTTGCCGCCAAGCATAACTCTCCTCTGATCTGTGACAGGGGGCAGAGCAGTGCGGGGAGGAGAGACGCCGGCCGCTCACAACTCTCTCCTCCCGCACCGCTCAGCCACCTGTCACAGTTTATCTCCTCTCCGCTGGGACACAGAGCAGCGCCCAGTGGGGAGGAGAGAAAGAATGGATGCACCGCTGTATCGGCCAGAAAATGACACTTTCGGCATTATGCCAAAAGTGCCATTTTCGGCGGATATATCGGTGTATCCCCAATAATAATAATAATAATAATACAGTGCAAAGAACACTGAGAAGCAGTAACCTATACAAACACACACATTTTATTTTTGAGAAGATTAGATCTACCAGTGAAAGGGGATTGGTGATCAGTTCACAGGGGATAGTATAGCTGATCTAACTTCAGAGATGTTTTTTCAGGTTTATTGTATTTATTTTGTACTCTCTGCCCCTGATGCCCGTTGGCACCTTGCTTATAATAGTCTTTGTTTCCCTTACCTAGGTGCTTATTCGGGTTCGCAAAGGAACATTTGTTTAGACTGGCATCTAATGGTTAAATGACTTTTTGTTTCCCACCTTGTCCTGTTTTTATTTCTGCGCTGTCCATCCCTTTTCTCTTTTTTTATTTTTTTGTTGTTATTCCTTTAATCGTTTATAATTGATCTTGTAAGAGAAATATTGTGGCACAAGCAATTTCAAGGGGTCTGTAGGGAGAACAAATGTGGTGGCTTTGATTTGTATAGGGGCTGACTTGTAGCAATCTCTTGTAATATGTCTCCAGGCTATGACGGTGTCCTGAAGCATGTCCCCAGTCTCCAACAACTCCTATAGCATGTTTTCAGTCTCTGACCATCTCCTGTTGCATGCCTGCAGTCTTTAACCATCTCTTGTAGCTTGCCCCTGGTGTCTGATCATCTCCTGTTGCATGTCTGCAGTTCCTAACCATCTAAAGTAGCCTACCTGTAGTCTCTGATCATCTCTTGATGCATGTCTGCAGTGTCTAACCATCTCTTGTAGCATGCCTATCTCTGATCTACTCTTGATGCATGTCTGCAGTGTCTAACCATCTCTTGTAGCATGCCTATCTCTGATCATCTCTTGATGCATGTTTGCAGTGTCTAACCATCTCTTGTAGCATGCCTGTCTCTGATCATCTCCTGTTGCATGTCTGCAGTCTCTGAAAGCTCTCTGTAGCATTCCATTCACTGAATATTATGCGTGGCCCTGCCTCTAACCATCTCTTGTAGCATGCCTGTGGTCTCTGATCATCTCCTGTTGCATGTCTGCAGTCTCTGAAAGCTCTCTGTAGTATTCCATTCACTGAATATTGTGTGTGGCCCTTTGGTGATGTCAGGGGCTGCACCTGTGGCTCCCTATACCAAGAAAGCTGACAACTGCTCCTCTTTACTATTCCCACCGTTCTCACAATTTTGGGGGTTTTAACTGTATTTTCATTTCCCCAACTTTTGCAGGTGATGATTTTGAATCTACCAAAGTGACTGTATCTGAAGGTGGACAACAAAGTGAGGGCGCTCCACCTGATTATGAAACGGAAGGAGTGACTGACTCAGGGGGACATCAGCTCCCTAATTTGGACTTTCCTATCTCTAAACGGGGAAAGAAAAACCCATCTTTTTTCTTCAACGCTATCAAAGACGAACTGCTCAGCCAATCAAAAGGCACAGCTGCCTCAAGCAGTACAGTCACCAAACCTGGGATTGAAGTTGTGACATTTGTCAGTCGCAAAGATAAAAAGAAAGCCAAGAGCAGCGACGTGCAAGACAGAGATTCCGAGGTAAGAGAGCATGTAAATGGAAAGACTTCATATTAACATGTACTCAGATACATGGTAACATACACGTATTCCTACATCATGCAGTTATTATCTGAGGAACAACAAAGTGTACAGTATGTCCACCCAATTATTTTAGGGGTGGGGGGATAGTGTGTAGGAGGATTAGAAGTCTAATCTAGCAGGAAGTCTGGTGAACCTGAAGCAAGGGAAAATCTGCTACAGGGACAAAACAGACAAATAAAAAGCTGAATAGCGGTTCTAGCCTTTCTCTGCTTTACTGAAAATAAATCACAGGAACAGGAAGTGAGGCATAATGTCTCTAAGAGCCCTTTCACTCGGGCTTCCCGATCAGGTCCGCTGTCATTTTTCAGGTGGACCTGATCGGAAGCCCAATGTTAGTCTATGGGCAGCCGGCTGTAAATGGAGGGGCATCCATTTACATCACATTACTCCCGGATCTGGAAAAACAAACAGATCAGAGTTCCATTTGACCTGACTAGATTGTGACGGATCGGAGGTAATCTGATGGGAACAGACACTAAAGGAGTCCTGGATACTGATAAAACCCAACAGGGATTCTAATACTTCCATAGTCTATGGGAACTTAAAGGACTTCTGAGGTAGCCTGGCTGAATGCAATGTGCCAGCACCGTAGCTATTGGATGCACTTTGGCCCAGTGGTTAGCTTTATATCCTTGAAGGCCCATTCATACCCTAGCCTGTCCGCTAAAACACCTGGCTTTAGCAGATGGGCCAGTGCTTTGTGGCAGCTCTGGCAGTGTGTGTAGGATGGCATAGAGTACCGCCGTATGTGTGAATGGGCTCTTATGCAGGGACGCTAACTGCATAAAGTTTTCTTCCCTTCTATTCTGGATGCTTTGGGTTCCTGTTCAGCTTCCATTCAAAACCATGTTTTTGTGTGACGTGATAGTTCATTAGATTGTAAGGGTCCTTTAGGGATAGGCATTCTTGTGAAGGGTTTTATGTATTTTATACAAAACACCCTGCTGCAGAACATGTTAGCCCTATAAAAAAAATTATGGTATATACATCTACATATTTAATATCGGACTTTCTTTAAAAAGTGTTTAGGCACAGAAGAAGCAAAACCTAGATTAAATCTGCATGCGTGGATATATAGATATATATAGATATCTAATATCTATAGATATCTAGATATAGATAGATCTATAGATATCTCTCTCTATATAGAGAGATATTTATAGATCTATCTATATCTATATATAAACTGAATGGGATGCAATACCATCTTCCATGGAGGAAACAAGTATACCAGCACAGTTTTAAGAACAAACAGTTTCAGGCATCACCACCCTATACATAATTGGATACATGATTTTACATTATATGTATCATTTTTTTCCTTTTACAGATAACCTTTGATTCAAAAGAGGAAGAAAACGATGGAACATTCGATTTTGAAAAGGTACTTTTATGGTTCTATGCGTATTTCCTTTAAGTTATACAGAATTCAAGTGCTATTGACTGTGTTTTCAGTGACCATACTTTGTGTTATTGTCATATGCTTACCCTAAATAAAATTTTGACTTTAACAGTCACAGAGCCGTCATATGTTATAGGCAAATATGGCTGCCCCCATGCACATATATATTTACAAATGTTTTCAAAACAATAATGCATGTTAATAGGATTTACATGAGCTTATCCCAGTTACAATACATTGATAAAGCTCTTTTTACAATCCTTAGATCTTAAAAGGATCCTTATCAATGTACATGAGCTAATGCTATTTCAGATGTTGGTGCTAGTAGTACCTGCAGTAAGTTTAATTACACTTGGGCTAATTCCCTGTATAGAGTGCTGCCTCATTGCCACTTATTCATTGTTGTTTTTATATAGAACATTTTCAAAATTTAGCATAATAAAATGTATAGTTCTAAAATAGAAAATAAATCTATACCAGGGATTCTTGTTATCTACAAACAAATAAGCACATAAGCACCAGCAGCATGAGTCAGTGATGAGGGGAAAATCTTCAGTATAGTACACTTTTCAGGGCTGCTCTCGCTGGTTAGGGAAACCACATAACTGAAATATAAAACACAGAGAGCGCCTCCATCGTGTAAAACCTTTTAAATAAACAAGAATAAAAAACAGTTGGATTTGTACTCGCAAAGGGAGATAAATGACAGGCATGAAAAGATTATTATTATTATTATATAGGATTTATATAGCGCCAACAGTTTGCGCAGCGCTTTACAATATAAGGAAGACATTACAATCACAATACAATATTCAAGACAAGATGGTGAGGGCTTACAATCTAAAAGGGGAGGGGCAAGTTATACATGAGGAGGTAGCTGTGCGGGAATGATTGTTTGGGAAAGTGAATGTTCAGTGGTTAGGTTGAGGTGGGATAGGCTTGCCTGAAGAGATGAGTCTTAAGATATCGCCTAAAGGCAGTCAGTGTGGGAGATAGACGGACAGGTTGGTGTAGAGAGTTCCATAGGATGTGAGAGACTCTAGTGAAGTCCTGGAGGCCAGCATGGGAGGAGTTGATGAGGGAGCTGGAAAGCAGGGGGTCTTGTGAAGAGCTGAGGGGACGGTTAGGGTAATACTTTGAGACCAGGTTGGAGATATAGCCGGGGCCAGAGTTGTGGATGGCTTTGTAAGCGGTTGTTAATATTCTGAATTTTAACCTTTGGGCTATTGGAAGCCAGTGCAGGGATTGACAGAGGGGGGTTGCAGACACTGAGCGGTTGGTTAGGTGGATGAGTCTAGCAGCTGCATTCATGATAGACTGAAGGGGGGATAACCTATGAAGGTGGCGTGACCTCGGAAATCTTTTCATGCCTGTCATTTTATCTCCCTTTTGTGAGTACAAATCCAACTGTTTTTTTAATTCTTGTTTATTAAAAAGGTTTTACACAATGGAGGCGCTCTCTGTGTTTTATATTCTTGTTATCTGTTGCATTGCAATGGATCCTGCTTCTGTAAACTGGACTCTAGTCCAGTTACCTCCACTGTCTGGGACAAAAAGTCACCACCGGCCTACATGATCAGTCCTGGTCTGTCAGAGACTTCTCCGCTTAGAACCATCTTGGATTCTGATCTCCTCTATACAACATGCAAGGCTAAAAGTGAACCTGTGCTTTGTTCATGCAGGTAAAAGCAACAGGAGCACTACATTCCCCCATCCCTATCTATTAGGGATGTCCCGATACCACTTTTTCAGGACCAAGTACTTCCCCTCATGTACTTGCCGATACCAATTACCGATACTTTTTCTTAAAGGGACAGGTGACATTTAAAAAAAAACAATACAGACTAATGATTTCAGGCCAATTTCTTTATGATTATGAAGAACTTTAATTTAAGACTGTTTTAGAACAATAAAACATTTGTATTTGCTTTCACACAGCTACAGTGACACTACAAATCCGATCATGCATCTGCCTCTGAGGCCATTTAACCTTTTCATGTTAGCAGTGGAGAATTGTAACTCTATTACCGCAGTGTACTGGATGTGTGTACTATGGATCATTGAACCTGATACACACTTCCAGTACACTGCAGTAATAGAGTTACAATTCTCCCCTGCTAACATGAATAGGTTAAATGATCCATCGTACAACTACATGTTATGTACTATGGATCATGATTTAACCTATTCATGTTAGCAGGGGAGAAATTGTAACTCTATTGCTCTAATGTAGTGGAGGTGTGTGCTGTATATATGTACTACATATACAGTACACACTTCCAGTACATTGTAGCAATAGATTTACAGCCAGCCCTGTCCCGGCTTCCATCACTCACAGTTTCACTCCGATCCCTGTTGCCTCACGCAGTGCCTCTCGTAGTCGGCACTGGGCAGGATTGCTGCATTGCATCTTGGTGCTCAGCTTGTGGGAGGCACTCACAATTCTGCCCTGCTAACATGAATAGGTTAAATCATGATCCATAGTACATATGCAGTACACACGTCCAGTACACTGCAGTCTGCAGCATTAGAATTATAATTCTCCCCTGCTAACATGAATAGGTTAAATGATCAATCAATCCTTAATAAACTGTACAGCGCTAAAAACCTTCCAATGATGTGCATATGCAATATAAAATTATTCTTTTTATATTGCATATGCACATCGTTGGAAGGTTTTTAGCGCTGTACAGTTTATCAAGATTAATAGGATTGTGTCCTGTATGGGCCAGCATAGTGGTATCTATGAAGTATGTGCTATGCTATGTAAAGCACTGCATACATTTTCGGCGCTATATAAATAAATGTGCTGACCCTCGATGATGGTTGAAGGAAGATGAAGGTACAATGAAGAGGGAGCACTGTTATCTCAGTGCAAGTGTTATATTACACATTATTTAGCTTGCAGACACTTAACATTAAATATATACCTGATGCCGGGTGTGTTTCAAGATACACAGAGTGTGACTTTAGCTCAGCTGCATTTGTGGCTAGATATCATTCACAATTTACTGTTTTATCCTGCTTTAAAAATGCTTTGTCACAAATGCCATATAAATAGAAATCCATTTTCTTGGGAACTTTCTTCACAGGCACGCTTGGAAGTCCACAAGTTTGGTATTACGGGTTACAAGAAAGAAAAGCAAAGGAAATTTGAACAGGAGAGAGCAATTATGCTTGGAGCAAGGGTAACAATAGACATATGCTTTGTTGCTTATCTAATTTATTTGCTGGGAGACTATGCCCTCCTTAGCATCTGTTTCTTAAATGGCATCAGGGAATGGAAAATGTGCTATTGCAATATCTTTTTAAAGTGGACCTTTACCCCCCTTTCATTACAAATCACATAAGCATGCAGCTCTGGATGCTGATTTGAAATCATCTTACATTCATTTAGTTAAAGGGACATTAAACCCTCAGATTTTTTAACATAAAACAATACTGTAATGTGTGCCTTACTCAATCCATGGTTGTTTCCCTTCTCTTTGCTGCTCTTCCTTTTAAATCTGTATCTGTTCTCATGCTGGGCAGAACTTCTGTTTTGCAGCAGACTGCCTTGTCTCTGAAATGGATACATGGTGTCTGTTTGCAACCTGAGCCAGCACTACAGGAAGAGGCACTCAGCTGAAAAGGGAAGTTCTCCCCCCAGCATGAGAAGACATGAGGATTTAAAAGGAAGAGCAGCAAAGAGAAGGGAAACTACCATGGATTACAGTAAGGCACACATTACAGTATTGGTTTATGTTAAAAATCTGAGGGTTTAATGTCACTAAACAATGTTAACAAAATTTCTGCTTTTACTTACAAATACTATTTTTCCACTTTGTGGTTAAATAAGGGAACAGGTGATGTATCCCTGGCCTCAAGGGTGCATTCTGGGAAGGCTACATCACCAGTGCCTTCCCGTGAAATCTCTGTAAACTGCAAAACCTCATGAGATCTCATGGGAAATGATAATTTCCCCTGAGATGATTTGCATTGTCACATGTTACAGTAGGCAGATTTAGAGGTCCAGGAAGTAAAGGGAAATAGATTAATCTGCCCTTAGTAAAAATGTCCATTGTGAGACAAATGGGGAGGAAAAGAAAGAGGTATGCAAAGAATAAAAAAAAATTTAAGATAAGGTTGAAGTTCCTCTTTCAAAACAGAATTTCTTGTATTGCCCGTATAGCCCTTTTTTCAAAGCCAAAATTATTCCGTCATGAGGAGCACGTATGCAAAAGTTGCCTTCAATGAAAGAATTATAAGCATTTTAGGATCTATAGGTAGCTGAAGCTGCAGCATATGCTAATCTTTAAATATCAATTCAATTCAATATTTGCCCACCCCTTCTCACCTCCCAATTCACTCTAATTGTATTTTTAATGTAATGGTTGGACTCGCTGAGCAATGGGAAGACTCGGAGTCTTAAGCTGGCCATACACCTATATATATTTTTTTTCTATCAGCCTATGGTCAGATGGACAAAGTGCATCAGATTTCTCCATCTACGCTAAACTGTGTGGATGGAAGAATCTCCAGCTGGGCCAAGCTTCAGTATCTTGCTAGTCAGCCCCGTGGGCTCTCAAAATACCTGAACAATGCCTGCATACAATCAGATTGTTCATGTATTTTGAGAGCCAGCATTGCTGACTAGCAAGATACTGAAGCTTGGCCCAGCTGGCAACCCTACATGCCCTGCCAAAGGATGTGTTGCAACATGTGGCGATTTTTTGGGATACTGTGTCCAATCGTCAATAAAGATGTTTCATTGAGTTTAGAGTGCTGGTGACTTATTTATTTTTACTTTGGATTTAAGTGACACCATTAGCTTGTCACTGCAGCATCCATCAACATTTTTCAGGGTCTTATCGGTCAGGAGTGTAACGGTTTATGGACAATAAGTTGCATCATATGACAACACACTAACCTGCAGTTCACTGGTAGAAATGGTACATGATGCATTAGTCAGCCCATTCAAATAAACAGGCTGCATTATTAATGCACGGCATGTTGAATGTGTGAATGGGCCCTAAAACATTTTCAAGTAAGTTTGTGTTTCTTACAAACTGGAAACCTTTGATAATTAGAGCTCATAAATTCCTGTTCCCTATTAAAACCAACAAGGCTTTGGTGGAGGTAAAAAATAATTTTTATGGTTACTATAGGCAGCACACGTATTGCTTCTTGAAGATATTGTTTGCATGCAGTATATTAGTGTAATTTATTTAACGTTACAAGTGGTAATACTGACGTGGACATTCCAACGTAATTCTGTTTAATATATATAATAACATTTCTTCTGTAAATCATCTATGTTGTAGATAGTATTATACTTGCTTTTCATAGTCACCGTGTGCATTTGATCATTTTCTCAGATTGGGCTTCAGTGTCATTGAATCATTGATTTGCTTCATTTTGAAGAATTTCACATTTATCAATAACTTTCTGATCTTGGTTATATATTTTATCTCTCCAGCCTCCCAAAAGAGAACATGTGAACTACAAACTTTATCAAGAGAGGATAAAGGAACGGGAGCAAGCAAAGAAAGAAAAAAGCCTTAAGGTTTGTGAAGCTTATGTGTAAATGTCCATTACTGGAATTGTGTATTTAATAATCTAATTCTTCTGCTTATTACTATTTGTAGTCGAATATTACCCCAATATATTGCTTCTATCTACACGGTTGTGTATAGCAGCCACCAGAGTTTCTTTATTGTGGATAGAGTTTTATTTCATGAAGACCTTTTTTAGTTTCATCCCTTGACTGCCTTGTATGTTCAGGATTCAAGCAGGGTCTTAATGTTTCTATGATTGTTGGATTGGTAAAGGGCAAACAAAAAAAACATTTTAGAAGCAGATAGCATGGCTCGCTGTTATCCTGACCCTCTGACTTCAGTAGTTTGAGTCACTGCCCGCAACAAAGATACAGGTCAGGAAATTTGGAGAATTGTCAGGAGACCTTATGTGCATACTTGTCCTGGGTGCAGAATCATGAGGTCAGCAATGACGGCCTGCAAGTTTCTGGCATGACTGGTTTTCCTTTACTAGGGAAATGATAAATTTAGTGTCATTAGTAT